TGTCCAATTCATTATCTATCTGTTGAATATTAAACAGCACATTCCTTTTCTTTTTGAATACCGCCTGGGCGTTTTGTTTTGGCTGTAATTTTGCCTTCATCTTGGTACACGTTCCCAAACCTGGAGAAAAAACAGTAGGAAAAGTTCTCTTAAGTTTCCTTACTAATTTTTGGGCTTCGTAGTTTAAAAAATCTACCTTGTAACAGAAAGAATTTATGGGTAGATCCCATAATTGAAATTCTGTTACCTAATTCGTACCAAGTTCGTGGTATTTTTTATGACAAATAGTTTAGCTTTTCGGGTTTTTTTTATTTAACGTGACGTTTGTAACAAATTCTCCCATAAATTGTATTTTTTCTCCCGTCACTGACCTCGCGATTTTATTTGTTTTCATTAAAGTTGGTTTCCCCAACTTCTTCCACGTATTCAAATTTATGATAGATAGGTCGGAACCAGTGTCGAGTTACATTTTTATTTTTTTATTACTTATTTCGACGGTAACAAATTTTCTGGTTATTCCGTCGTTCACTTCGTCGGACTTTAATTTTCTTATTTTATTGTCTTTATTTTTTGACCTGCAGTGCGAGCTTTTATGGCCCACTCTTTCACAGCTGAAACATTTTTTATTCCTAAAATTGCAATATCTGTACCAATGTAGTTCACCGCAAGCAAAACATGGCATCGGAAGTTTTTGTTTATTTTTTTCTGATATTTCACTTTTTGTTTGATAATCCGCAATTTTAGAATTCTTTTTGGTAGACTTTCTTTTTTGTAGCGTATTTTTCTTACATGCGAAACGCCAGACTGTTCTATCATCTTCGAGTCTTTCTTTACGCTAACATATCTTGTGCAGTCTTCTGCCAAACTCTGTATCGTAAGACTTTGTTGATTTTCCAATTTTGATAATAGCAATTTCCTCAATTCTGCGTCACTTTCGGATACCAGTCCTTGAACAAACACTAAGCATTTAAAGTTGTCAGTGCTTAATTCTGCTAGCTTGAATTCTTCACAAAGCTTGTTCACATTGGCTGAATACGTTATATAGTCTTGTTCTTCATCTTTCATCAGATTCAAACATTTCCACCTCTTGTGAAACAAAGATGTCTTTTTACTAAATAATTCACTTAATATATTTACCGCCTCGGTAAAAGTTAACTCGCTAGTTTTTTTCGGTAAAATGTAGTTTACCAATTTGTTATGCTCAGCAGTTCCTAACTTGCTTAAAAGAAGTCTAACCTTCTTTCCTTCAGACCGTGGCAGTCCTCGTTATACACGTCCGTATATTTTTTATAATACTCTTCAAAAGTTATCTCTTCATCTGGACTGTACGTGAATATTTCAATCGAATTCCATATTGTATTCTCTGGGAAAGAATCATTTTGTAATTTTTTCTCTTTCCTCTTCTCAGTTATTTCCAGAATTTTGTTTTGAAACTCCTTATGCATCAGTTCCATGTCTCGTTGAAACTGCACCTGTCTATTAAAAGTTTCCTCCTGTAGTTGCATCTGGAATGTTTTCTGTTGCTCTAATATTGTCATTTGTTGTTCCGTCTGGAACTTAAAAAAATCCTGTAATATATTTTTGCATTTCTCCATCTTCGCAGAAAGTTTACACAATGCTTAAATATTGTAGAGGGGGGGTCCAAAACGAATTTGTAATTCGTGACCTATTTGAGCAAACTGTCTTATCGAGAAAAAAAATCTTTTCTTAGTTGAGAATACGACTGATTTTTTCGTCACTAAGTTGACGTCTTGTTTTTCGAAAAAACTTTTCCAAGTTTTTGTTTGTTTGTTTTTTAAATGTGAATCCGAGAAAAATTTGACGAGCACATTTTTTTTTCTTTTTCCTCCGTATGAAAAACGAATTTCGTCACTAAATAATGTGGCGAGAGAATTTTTTTTCCTCTTCACTGTATGAAACAAACAAACGTGGCGTACGAGGGATTGCCCTCGTACGCCACGTTTGTTATGAAGGGTGAATTTTTTTCCCTCTTCTGTATGAGTTACGAATCCACGTCGACAAGTGTTGTAGAGTGAACGCAAAGTTTTTCCGTATGAATCCAAAATACGTTCGTCGCCAAGTGTTGTATATGGCGAAACGAATTTTTTTTTCTTTAATTTTTTTTTTCCGTATGAGAAACGAATCCCTCGTCGCCAAATGTGTTGTAGAGTAGTTTTCACAGTGGAGGCTTGTATTTCACTAAGTCGGTCCTAAATTAGGTTCGACGTACAAAACGTTAGGAATTGCAATAATAGTTAATGACGCAGTAATCTAGTTGTGGGGCTCATACTTTAATGTCCGATATCGACTGACTCACGCAACTCACTGAGCTCCACTGGCGATTGCTGCTACTACTACTTATCTGTGGGAGAGTCTATTTACAATAGAATAGGTACGTTCCGGTATAACAACCATCTGATCCTTCTATCAGCCTATTGCCCGTCTATATTTCATTTCTATTGGTCAACTACAAAGTCTATCAAGCTTTAGATACGAATAGTTTGAGCTCGGGTTGTTGTTTTGGATATCTCGAACGCAATTGACATGCTAGATTTCTTCACAAGGTGAAAGGTCATGGTATTTCTGGATCATTTTTGAATTGATTCAGTCTTTCTTATCAAATCGTGAAATACAGATTACTTGAACGACCACTAATTTTAGATCTTTCTGTATCAAGTACTCTATCCTACGTTGTTCCTAATTTTCATCAACAACCATTCTGATGTTATCAATTCTCTACTCGGTATCTGTGCTGATGACGCAACTATTTACTCCTGTCTTAATAGTATGTTCATACAATATTGGTCGGTCCAATAAGGTCATAGAGATTGTTGGACTAAAACATGACCAACATGCTGTTGTTAATTGGGGCAAGGAATAGCTTTTTAATTTTAACGTCCCAAAACGTACCTGCTGAATATTAATCGTCTGAGAGAACCTTTTCTACTTTCCAACAGCATATCTGATACTAACCTCCATGTGAGTGACTCCTTGCACCTTCTCGTGTTAACATTTTTTTGGCTGGCATGAAGTTGACAGATTTTATCTAATCAATTGCTAGGTTTGCTAATAAGAAATTTAGTTCACTCTATCAGACTAGACATTTCTTCTCATGCGAATCAATTTTACATACTTATAAGCCCAAAATTCATCCATAGTTTGAATATTGTTCTCACATATGGTCTGGTGATATTTAGAGATTCTTCATAAAATCCAAAGAAGAATCTGCAATATCATTGGTCCTCTTCTGAGTCAATTTACCCTAAGAGGTGATAACCGGGAATAACTGATTTTATTTATGATACCCACTCATCCTCAAAGACCCCAAGAAATTTTCCTCACAAACACACACTTTTTTTTTTCATTTAAACTGAGCATATACTTCTCCGGCGAAATGCGTCTTTAATAATTTTCCCTCTTTTTCATCTTTTATATATATATATATATATATATATATATATATATATATATATATATAATAAAGGTAATTTTAGTGGATACCCATATTTGAGTAGACACTCCCTTTATTTATTTAATACTGTTTACTAGCGTTTAATAGTTTGAATATTTGAGAATTATTAAAGAAAACACGCGTCCTTTATAAGGTTCGAACCAGCGTCTCACGTCGTCTGATCGAACATGCTCTAGACCGACTCGACCACGAAGCGCGACGCCTAAAGAGCAAGGCCGAATAGTCTCTTATAAACACAAATCATTTCACCGATTCTCAAAAGTTCATATCTGCTGTTTCGTTTTCGAAAGGAAACAAAGCAATTTATAAAGAAATATTGGATCCTCGGGCAGGATTCAAACTCATATCCTCTTTGCAAGATCAGCGACACATTTCTAAAGCTCATCGTATCTAGCGGCGGTTTCTTCTGCAAAGTGGGGACGAAGGTTCGAATCCTCTTTTCCTTTAAGATTTCTTGAATATTCATGCCAGTAGATGAAAATAAATATACTGTTCAATAAATAAATGAAGCGTCTACTCATATGTAGATGTCTACTAAAAATAATGTTTAAAATCATAAAATATGTCGGATAAATAAAAAATTCATTCATTTTTTAGAAATACACACACACACACACACACACATATATATATATATATATATATATATATATATATATATAAATAATTACACATACACCTACATTTACAGTATGACTCAGAGTTTCATACCTGTGCCAATCATGAGGTACAAAAAGTTACAAACTGTTCAATACGCTTGTTTTTGTTGTTTTTTTTTTTTGTCTTTTTTTATTTATTAAAAAAAAACTCTCGGTTTTTAGAACTGAGACTGATTTTTTGTTTATCCAAAATACCAATTCAGCTACAATTGAATGCGGTATCCAATCGTTGTAAGTACTAAATTGTAATTAATATTTTCCCTTTCTACTGCAACGAACTACACAATATAAATATGATACTAAGCCATTCAATCAACAAAATATTTTAAATCCATAGTTTGGTAGCAGCCTTCTCAATTTCTTTATATTCTTGCTTGATTAGTTACGCTGATAAAAACCATTTTATTCCATTACCGTTTCTACAGTTGCAATACAAACACAAATATATTCATTATATTACATGGGCCTCAATGACATACTTTAAAGTAAGACATATATCAAGTTGCTCATTATAGACATTCCAGGAAGTCTTTGAATCCTGGCTATTCGATGTTTTCAGCATAATTTTAGGTGAGAAAAGTAACAACAATGAATATAGTTATTAATTAGCTTAGTTTCGCACTTACCTTAAAACATAAAATTGAATATTCATAGTTTAAAGTTCATTCAGTTAAGTTTCTTTCGATTATGATGTATTTTGTGGGAAGGATTTTAAAATTTAGATAAATATCGTTTAATTTCATCCGATTCTCTTTAAAATTTTGTACTTTATTTCAAAGAAAAGCTGATACGGGTGTCATTATTCACTATAGTCAACGTAGTCCGGTGCGAAAACACCTTAGACTATCGGTTTATGACCATATGATGTTGATCACCGAAGTTAAGCAACGTCGAGCCTGCTTAGTACTTAGATGAGTGACAGCTTGGGAATACCAGGTAAGCTTGGATGTGCGACTGGTATAATGGTTAACGGCTCGGAATTGGAAATCGAAGAGCCGAGTTCCAATTCCAGTTACGTTTGTTATATTCACTTACGCAAAATACTCTTGGGAAAGTACGAATCCACCTCTTTCCCCCAATTATGGGTTAATTAGAAAGATTTGTATCACTAAATCATTAATAAAAAAAATTCTTGCAATCAAAAATATTTTCTCGTTTTAAATAACCTGCAAAGAGTTGATAAGTCGTAGAAAACGAATCAATCAAGTATTAAGAAACAGGAAGATTTCGTTAGAAAAATGTTTACTGAACTTTACATAATATCTTTCCTCCGATATGTCAGTGAATGCTGAAAAATCTCACAAATGAAAGGAAATTTTAAGCAACAGAAAAATGTGGTTCTACAGAATGATGCTGATTGACTGAACATACGAGCAACGACGAGGTTTTAAGAAAATGGAAACAAAAAAAAAAACAACTATAAATAACATCAGAAAGTGACAGTTAAAACTTCTTGGACACTTAATCAGGAAAGAGTGCTTGGAAAATATGACACTCACAAGGCATACTGAAGGTAAGAGGGACGGCGAAATCAGCGAATTTGGCTACCTTATTGTTCAAATTTAAAAACAAAATTTCAGGATACCTAGACATGGTGTTTCCTCACTAATTCTTCTCGTATGAACAGAAATGAACAGTGCCTAGGGATATGCCTAACCGGTTAAGATCAGGCAAATGACAAACAAATGGGTGATACTGACTCCAGCACCGCTGTAGCTTCATCTCTTCCGACAAAAGTCCTACGAAATTTTACGACAAATTTAAAGGTATTCTCAGATAAAACGAGTAAAAATACAATCGATTTATTCTGCTTTTCAGTGGCAATAGTCGTGATAAATTTATGATAATGAGCCTCACCGTATTGCTGCTTAACGATATATCTCTACCTAGTAATTATTATTATCTTTAAACTGAACTCTGTTTATTAATATAGGGGATCTTAGTATAAAGAAAAATATCTATAAAAATGGCTGTTTACTCAAGTTTAAAGGCACTCGAGATTCTTGCCATGACAATAAAAAGCTATTACCAGGTGACTAAAATTCCAGCTCTAATAAAATCTACTTTTAAAAATAAGTGTAAATTCTTGTTTGACGGTTGTAATGAGAGCAGTGCTGCAACAGACTTGCAATGTTAACCACCCATTTCCCTGCTCATTTAATCAGATCAATTCACTAATAAGTTTACCTCATTTAATTAGCGATTTATTTTGACAAAAAATATCGACTTTAAGTTAGAAAAGTATGAAGATCTGTAAGAATTGCTGAACTACCAATATATTTCCTACTGAGGCTGGATGTCGAAGTTTTATTGCCTATTTGACCTTGTTATACCTAAGTTTGTAATAGAAAATATTAGATATTAAGTGATTCCAGTAGATGCTGTATTTGTCTGAAACTTGCATTTCCACACTGTGACAAAAAATCAACAAAGTCTGGTGATATTGTAGGGTGCTTCTGGCCCAAACCATACTCGATCCGAAGGTTATCATCTAATGAAAGCTTTATTTGAGTCACTGTTTTAACAATAAAAGGTGTATGAATTTATTTAGCTGCCGTCAATAAAAATAATTCATCACCCCCAACAACGCGGAAACGCTTTCGGACTCTAGGCTATAAAGAGGAGACTTGGAAGCTCCTGTCTATATATGGCAGCAGGACTCCATTTTCGACTTGATCTTGCTCTTGTAAAAGTAGAGGATAACAAGAGGAATCAAGTCAACTACTTACTGGAACAGACTATTTTCCAGTATCTTTAGCGATGGATCGCGTGTACAAGTTCCGCTTGAGGTCTGGATTGAGTTCCAAAAGGCGCTCAAGGCATGGTGCCTCTTCGAGAAAACACCCGTTCATCGCAATAGGTGAAAATTCATTGTCGGCTCGTTGATGATGGAACGCCGCTAGTTTAATTTTCGATGCATTGAATGTGACCGGCCAGTCCCCCACCTCGCCCACTGAGCTGTTAGAGCTAGATCAGAGGAGAGATCAGCTGCCAACGATTTGTCATCTAAATTTTTGGAGCTGTGCAATATTTCGTTGTGTTATCAGCATATATATTCCCAAAATACTCTTGAGCAGATCATTTATATAAAGTAGAAAGAGGGTTGGACCGAAAAGCGAGCCCTACGAGACGCCTGCGTTGATTGATTGGGCCTCGAAGTGATTAACAAAAATCTCTGAATGTACCATCTTCAAACTCAAAGTATTAAAGTAAAGATATAATATGTAGATAACCAATATGGTTATCTACAAATTATATCTTTACTTGAACAAAACCAGTGTATTTTTTCAATAAAAATGCAAATATCTGACATGAAATGTCGTATTTAATTACATGGAAGATGTTTCTTCCATTTTAGATTGCTTTACTAAGAATGTAGTAAAAACGCAAATTATTCTTTATTTCAAAATCATCTTAAAATAGCAGAAGCAACAAATTTTTATCATTTTTGGTGCCTTTTTAGAAAATTTTGTGAATCCGATGTTGATAATAAAAAGGAAATAAAGCACAAAGTATATCACCTGAAATAATCACCTGAAATAATCACCTGAAATAATCACCTGAAATAATAACTAAATAATTACGAAAAAAACTTAAATTTGTGAGCGTAGTTTCTATTTATGGCCACTTGGTAAATGCGAGTCTCAAACACCAGATTTGATAGAAGGATGTGATTTTTTAAATTAATTTGTGAAATGCGTGAGAGACTTAAAAACCTCATTGTGTTTTTATTTAAGTTTGTGTTTTGAAAAATGATGAACGTTGTTATTATTTATTGCTTATTTGATTTCTCCATTAAAATTCCAACTTTAATTCCGTTTGATTCACTTGTGATTTATTTAAAAACGTTTAATGTATAATTATTACTTACAATATAAAAATATGAACATTACTTTGATGAGCCCTCAAAAACAATTTAATTCAAAAGTGATGTTAACAAGTGCGTATTTGCCATTAATTTTAGAACGCAATGAAAAAGTAAATTCTAGATTTAAAATACAAAACTTATAGGAGCGGCAACAAAACGCAGAATATGAATGACATAAAATCTTCTAAGAGAATGCCACAAAACGAAATCTACTGGTTCAGTTCGAAAGCGAGCAGGAAGATTTTAAATAGACAGAATAAGATTAATAAAATATTTACAAAAGAAAGAAGGCGTCGTCACACATAAAACACCAATTTCAACTGAGAATTACACCCGCATTGGCTAATATTTTTTTTCTTAATTTTACGTCCTGTTTTAGTGAGCTTTGGAAAACTTCTTTTTATCTTTCCAAAATTCTCTGATATTTCTAATAAGGAATCGTTTTATGAAATTATTATTCAGTGTCAGTTGAAAAACAAGAAAACGTCTTCACACAATATACTCTCTTACTCTGTGTGTGTGTGTGTGTGTGTGTGTGTGTGTGTGTGTGTGTGTGTGTGTGTGTGTGTGTGTGTTTCGAAAGTGGCCGGATTTTATTTCCACATAAACCGAAAGACTTTTTTGGGGTCCAACCGATAGAAAATGATTTTCAAATGAACTTATGCAAAAATGCGAACGGCTGCATTCCAGATTATTGCCTTTGCAACGACGAATGACGCAAAAGATCAGCCTAGGCTAGTCTCAGTTATAAAATAGTGTTATCTACAACAACCCAGTAACACACCCAAGCAAAATACTTTAGTACATATTACAAGACATGGTTAAAGAGATAGATGAGACATACTAATGTTTATACATATCAGTAATATGTAATGACACGTGATACTTGAAACGCACGCCCACATACGCCAAGTAATATAGTCTGAATAACACACACACAAACACACACGCATATATATATATATATATATATATATATATATATATATATATATATATATATATATATATATATAGTTTATATTTTGCAGCGTGTGTGTGTGTGTGTACAGTTCCAACTTAAATAGATAGATAGATAGATAGATAGATAGATAGATAGATAGCCAATAAATAGTTTAATTGCATATATAAAAGTAAATTTATGAAATCTTATTTAGTTCATAAACTAGACATACCGAGTGTCACTAATCTGACAGTGAGGAAAAACACTCCCCCCACCATGAATAGAGATATTTGACTAACTGAAAATGTGCAGAAACCGATTAAATTTGATATTATATTAATATTATGTCAATCTATTAATATTATATTGACATTAATATATGATTCTTCTTCTATGTGCCATGTCTCGTCAAGACATGTACGGTCATGGCTCGCCACAACTTTCTATCATTTGTGGTTCTTTCGCAATTTTTCTCTCTTTGCCAAGGCCCTTCCCTCGTTTCTATATCTATTCACATAACCTCGTGAGGCAAGTAGCTCCTTGTCTTCACATAACCTCGTCAGGTAAGTAGCTCATTGTCTTCACATAACCTCGTCAGGTAAGTAGCTCATTTTCACATAACCTCGTGAGGCAAGTAGCTCATTGTCTTCACATAACCTCGTGAGGCAAGTAGCTCATTGTCTTCACATAACCTCGTCAGGTAAGTAACTCATTGTCTTCACATAACCTCGTCAGGTAAGTAGCTCATTGTCTTCACATAACCTCGTCAGGTAAGTAGCTCATTGTCTTCACATAACCTCGTCAGGTAAGTAACTCATTGTCTTCACATAACCACGTCAGGTAAGTAACTCATTGTCTTCACATAACCTCGTCAGGTAAGTAACTCATTGTCTTCACATAACCTCGTCAGGTAAGTAACTCATTGTCTTTCCCTAATCCCTGTTACTCTCGATATACACCATAAGTATTCAGTTTTCCAAGACCTCCTTATTCATTTTGTGTACAAGGAATTTCAGTTGTCTTTTCTTGATTTTGATTAGAATTGTTCTTTCTGTTACCGTTTTCTTTAAGACTTCTTCTTAATTATTCGCTCGCTTCATAGAATTTTCATTTCTGCTGCTTCTATT